AAATTTGGAGGATTAACACTACATGATTTCAACACTAATTATGAGAGTGTACAGTTAGTCCCTGACTTAGGAACATTCAAGTTGAGAACTTTCATAGGTGTACTGTATAAGACTCACTTTGTTGGCTTAAGGTTAGGGTTAGGCTTAGGCTTACAAATGAGTCTGACTTTCAAACAATTTTCCCAGAACAGAACTTGTTTGTAAGCTGAGGACTTACTGTAGTTCTAGAGTCAAAATCCAGATACTTCAATGGACCAGACAGCTTCTAAAAACAGAACTGCACATATACTGACAATTGATTTTTGACAGAGGTGCAAAAGCAATTTAACAGAAAAAGGGTAATTTTTCAACAAATGGCAGAGTTACTAGAAGAATGTCTAAATTTTTCTATATACAAAATTTACCTCAAAATGGATCACTGACATACACATAAACCTAAAACTAGAAATCTATAAAACTTCTGGGAGAAAACCTTTGTAATCTTAGATTAGGCAAGAAAAAATATTCAGATAAATAACAAATTAATAAATTAGATATCAAGATTAAAACCTCTACTCTTGAAAAGACACTGACTGCTCAAAGGTTGAAGAGACAAACCATACTCTGGGGAAAATATTTGCAAATCATAAATCTGATAAAGGATTTTTATCTAAAATATATAAAACCCCTCAAAACTCAAGAAGACAGCAACCAAATTTTTTTAAAAATTGGTGAAAGATTCATACAAAAACATATACATGGATATTTACTAGAACTTTACTTTCAAAAGCCAAAAACTAGAAACAACCCAAAGTTATATCAACAAGTGACTATCCATACACAAACAGTGGTGTATACATCCATACAACAGAATACCACTTACCAATAAAACGGAGCAACTACTAATATGCACTACAACATGAATGAATCTCAAAATAATCATGCAGGTGAAAGAAATCAAACCAAAAGAAAGCACGTATACTATATCCCAAAACATGCAAACAAATGTAAAGTGAAACAAAACAGATAGTGGTTGCCTGAGAAATTCAAGGGAGAATTATCAAAGGCCATTAGAAAACTTCTGAGTGTTAACAAACAAGTTTAGTATCTTGATTGTGGCAATAGTTTCATAGGTACACACACATGTCAAAGCTAATCAAACTGCAAACTTTTCAATTTGTATAATTTATTTTATAATACATCTCAATAAAGTTGTCAAGGAAAAACAGACATCAGAAGTATTAAGGAAAATGAGATGATTTAAAAAGAAAATGAAATTGAAATCCAAGCTAGGAAGGAGAAGACAAAATAATTACTTTAAATTCACACAGATCATGAAAAATAATATCCTAAGACATTAATGCAAATGAAAATTTTCTAATTTCCAAGGAATCATAAAGAAGATAAAGATATGCTGAGAATTTCCAGATTTTAAATAAACAAATCAACAAACTGACGCTGAGGAATTGGCTTCTCTGGCATTTTATTATTTACTCCTGGTCCTTAAAACTTTTTCTAATTATGCTTTTGATTTCTTTCTGGACTCCTATTCCACCTGTCCTTCATGTTCTGGTGCTCTCTAGCTCCTTATTCCACTTCTAGTCTTACTTTATACCAGGGTTGGCAACCTCTCAGGAGAATAGGATTCTCCCTGATAATCTGGTAAAAGTTAAAGGCCTGAACAATGTACACTTACATAAGGTTTTAAATGTAATTATTTCAAAGGTTTCAAAACTTTCCTGAACCCCAGCCATGCATTCCTCAGCTTCTCATGGTAAGGAAATGAAGCCCTTGCGAATCCCTGCCAAAGCTTTCTCTCTCCAAAATTCCACGCAAAGTGAAATGCTCACATTGATGTAGCCATGGGAAATTTGAATGCTCATAAATAAAACCCACACAAAATAGAGGGTTGCATACTTTTTGCACATACTGGATAGAGTTCAACTGGACAGAGTCCTAGCTTACCTAAAATGTTGATTTATGAAGAAAGCTCCTAATATCTATTCTGTAGAAGTCCATTCTCTTAAACATTATCTTAAAAAAGGTGATTTGAATAAGGGCACAGGAAACATGCTTAATAATTTTTTGATAAGAGGCTGTAACAGTGAATAGCTGGATCACAGACCCAGGCTTTAGAACATACTTATTCAGCTTAGGGGTGACACAAAGGTCAAGAAAGAACCTTTCAGAGTTCAGTTCACAGATTCTTCAATAATATACTCTCCTCTTCCTCAACTCCCAATGACCCATGCAAACTTAAGGCATCCACTAAGGTTGCAAGTTCCTTGAGGAAATGCTTAAGTTTTATTTATCTTCAGATAGCACCTTGAACGATGCAAGTATCAACCTGCTGGAGCTCTATTACGCTATGGTAACAAATGATGTGAAAATCATGGTGCCCTAGAATACAAGTACTGTACAGTATGTATTTCTCACATTTTTGTCTGCTGTGGATTGGCTTCAGCTTTGCTCCAACATTCTTGCAATCTAGCCTTAGCTAAGGCTTGCTGGTTCCATACAGAGGGACAAGGGCCATGGAAAATATCTACTCAAACATGGGACACAGCATCTCCTCTAACACTGGTGGTCAAGGAAAGCCAAGTAGCCACACCTTAGGCCAATGGACTGGGAAGTATATTACTACTATAATGAGGACCCTGGTAAAGAAGGAAACCAATACTTTTGAACAGGAGTACAGGCCACCATTGTGCATTCCTCATAAAAAGTGCACAGTAATTGTTAGCAATTATTTATGTGCTGGACCATAAATATCACAAGAATAACAGACTGTAATCTGTTTTGATCATCAATGCACCAACTCTACAGGGTGCCTACCACACTGTAACGAACACACTAAATGCACTAAGTGAATGAACAGTGAGGAGATGAGCACAGAATCTGGAACCAAAGAGCTCACAGTAAAGTACTACATCTGCCAATTCTTGACTTGGTGTAAAGTCATTTTTTCTCTTTTGATTCTCCATTGTAAAGATTTACACACACATACACATGCAAACACACCAATGAGAAAGAACCAGGAAACTATACTGTTTTATACAAACGTCAGTTGTTATCGCTGGGCAGTTAAATGGGATGAAATTTGATAAAGATAGGTTCACTTGAACTTTCATAGTAATGTAATACATAAAACGTGAATTTACATTCAAAGTATCAACTGGCAAGTAAAGAATGAGAAAGATTAAGATTAAAGCAGCTCACATAAAAAAGAGACAGTGTTTTAGTTGACCATATGCTCAATATGATCAAAGGATAGTGCTGCTGCCAAAAAAAAAGTAATGCAAATGTCAGGCTGCATTAATAGAAGTTCAGCATCCAAATAATAGCTTCATTGTAGTCTGCAATGGTCGGAGCACGTCTGAAGCGGTCAGTTCAGTTTTGGTTACTATCCTTTAAGAGGTACACTGACAAACAAGATACTGTCATGAGTTCAGAGACATGGATGGGGAAGCTCTGTAAACCACATCATGTGCATGTGCTTTGAAATTTAGGACCTTTTTTCCTTAGCGTGGCAAAAAAGAAGACTCAGAAGGATATAATAATTTTCCAATATCCTAAGGTATATTGTGTACAGGAATAATAAATTTCAAATAAACAGCCCTAGATCGCTCAGGCCCAAAAAATAAAAGAGGGGAAACAGATTTAGCTCACTGAGAAGCTACTTCTAACAACTAGAAGCTTTCTGAAACAAGGAAGGATAAAAATATAGTTAGAGATGCTATCAAGGAGACCAAACTGGGTTTGAATCCTAAAAATCTAACTTATTCCTCTATGTAACCAAACACTTTTCAGGCATTTCAAAATGTTTGGACAGTACTGCTCTTTGCTGAGCAGCACAGAACAAGAATTGAGGTAAGAAGTAAAACAAGAAGTTGGCCTTATAAACACAGAAAGGAATACTGTTCAAAGGAAACGAAATTTTAGGGCTAGATAACATTAAACACAAACACAGTGTCTTGGATTTTACAGGGGAAATAGGCTTGGTCAAAACTATTTATTCTAGAAATTGTTTTTCCTAGAATGACTTAACTCCTGCCACTGTCGGAAGAGGTACAAAAATGGAAGTTGAGAAACAATGTGCCAATAATAAGAACTAGCATTCTAATCATGACAATAAAAGCTTAATGATAAATTTGAACAAGGATTAAGATTTCTCTGGGTAGAATAGCACAGCATGCCAGTGTCACTGAAAATGATCACTCACTAATGTCTTGCTTTGTTTCCTTACACAGTTCTAAATCCCACACTCTTCTAGCATCATTCCTAGCTTTCAAATTCTTATGTATTTTCTATACAGCCTGAACCTCCCCCAAAAAAGTTATCATGTATTATAAGTAGTATCACATGTTACATACTGCCATAAGCTGCATACAATGAGAAATGCTGAATATATCTTTACAGCTTCATCCCTCACCTTCAACATAATCTCAGCATAGCAAATACTAAACATTATTTGCTAAATTCCTTCCTTTACTGAAATGTTTACCCAACTCTATCATTACACACTGCATATATATCCATACTGAACAATCACTCTGTACACCATAAATATGCAAAATTAAATTCAATTAAAAATAAAAACAATTTAAAGTTACCTAACTAACCTCTCATAGTTATATAAGAGAAAGTCGAAGTAACTATAAAAGCAGATTTATGTTACAATGAGAAATGAATAATCACTTTATAAAATACCTCAGAAGACAAATTTCTCATTTCCTTAAACCTTTTTTGCCTCTAAAATGTGCATATTTAATAAATTCATAGTACATGCTTCTTGACACAAATTAGCAAAGCTCTACCCACTCCTTTCACTGAATTTAAATACACACATACATGTTTAAAAAACAAACTCACTTAAAAAAAATAGGCTGACTTATAAAAATGAATGTACCCATGCCCTTCTAGAACAAATAAAGATTCTAACCCCCCCCTAAACAAAAACTTAAGAAATACAAAGCTGAATACATATCCTCTATTAAGGGATAAGAAAGTTTAGGACTTACATGGTACAAGTGAAGGCTTGTTTAGAAACTTGTCACTGGATTCCTATCCTCATTATTTCTCTCCATTCTCTCTTGTAGGGAACACAATGCTAAGCTGCAGAAAACAGAAGAACACAGTTTCCAACTGCCCATGTCAACTCATCCAAAAACAAATAGTCTCTAGTCCACTGAAAAAAAGAAGAGTTAGTTTAAAAATATGCTACCAATGGCAGGACAACCCCCCATCCTTAGGGGATGGGTTCTAAGACCCCTAGTGGCCTACTAAAATCAAATATAGTACCAAACCTTACACATAGAACATTGTTCCTATGCAAACACACCTGTGATAAAGTTTAACTTGTAAACCAGACACAGTAAAAGATTAACAACAAAAACAACAGTAAAACAGAACAATTATAATAATCTACTGTAATAGAAGTTATGTGAAGGTAGCCTTCAAAATATCTTATTATACTGTACTTGCCCCTTGTTTTGTGGTATCAGATGATACAATGTCTACATGATAAGACAAAGTGAGTAACATAGTGCCCAGGACTATGTAAGGGTTACTTGAACACAAGTACACACTGCAGTAGTGATCTGATAACCCAGACTCTACTAAGAGATTCATGAGCTGTAAGGTTCAGGGGGAGCAGACATCGTAGGTCCACTTGGATACGCTAGACAAAAGGATAATTCACGTACTGGGAGGATGGTGCCATACTTCATCATGCTACTCAGAATACCATAAAACTTAAAGCATTTGAATTGTTTATGTCTGGGAATTTCCATTTAATATTTTCAGACAATGGGTATTAACTGAAATCAAGGAAAGCAAAACCTTGGATAAGGGAATACAACTTTAACTGGAAATACCATTTCTTCTAAATTAGACACCCATGCATTCCAGCAGCTATCTTTAAAAGATGGAAATGATACATAATAAATGTTTAAATAAGTCATTTAAATTAATGACAGCTGATATATATATGAAGTATTTTCTTTGTCAGGCATTCTTTCGAGTACTTAAAATGCATTAACTCATCCTGTACACTGCTCACCACAACCACAGAAAATGGTATCATTACCTTCACATTACACGTGAGAAAAAGAGGATACAGAATGATTAACCTGTCCAAGATCACTCAAACACCGACAGGTGGATGGTGATACAAATTCAACAAGAGAGCGCCATGGCCCATTCTTTAACCTTTATGGGTGGCTGTATTATTCTACATCTTGACACTTGAAGGCTCTTTTGACTGATACCTTGAATCACATAGAAAGAAATATTTTCACAGGCAGGCAAGATTATACAGAATTATTATTAAAATGCTTTCATAATCAATTTTTAAGATTAGATGATGGAATCTGAAATATCTTTTAAGACACTGGCATCTAACTTTTCCAAATAATATATATCTTTGCTTTATTACTCCTAAGTACAACTGGGTGCCTTTCATTCATTTAGCACAGTGCCTGGCACTTCCTAAAAACCCTTTGCACAGGCTAGGTGTGGGATGCTTCAGTCACATGACGGTGCACTCAAGAAATTCTACTACTTCTGAAATATAATCACTCAGTAGACATCCGGACACGAAGTAGTATGGAGACAAGATAAAGTGGATGATCCCTCATTTCAAGAGGAGTACTAGTTATGAAACAATGGAAGGGCTTTTATGGAGATATGATCAAGGGTCCAGGGGAAGAGAGGTACACCAGGCTCAACTGAGGAATGTGCCAGTTCCACAGGCAAAAGCCCGTAAACCCCTTTTTTCCTCTCAAGGAACATGAAACCATTTGAGGAAGACTAAAATGCAGGGTTTACAAGGAAAAGAGGAGAAAACGAGATGAAGAACGAAGATAGTGCAAGGTAAAGAAGTCTTATCAATCAATCATCATAACCAAACACCTGGTAAGATCAAATATGCTAATACAGATGCTCACATTTTTAAAACAACTCTGCTCTCAAATGAAATTACATGCAGATATCCACACTTAAAGTAAAACTGCCTGGGAAGAAACTGGAGGAAAACTGCATGACCGGCAGAATACTTTACAGAACAGTTTCAAAACTACTGTTTCAGAAAGAAAAACTAGTATCTAAATATGTTCTATTTACTTCATGTCCCTCACAACATGTCTTAACTTCTCAAGTAGAAAGATTCATTTTAATAGTTTTTCATCAATTATAGAACTAGTCATCTATACAGCTAATACATTTATTATGTATGTATATTATACATTATATATAGAACTATATGATACATTTTGTAAATTAATGACTAAAGTTTATAGTAAAGAAAAAAGAAAATAAAGATCAGCTTTTTCACTCTTTAGTTAAAACTATTACTTGACCACATTTTCTAACCCCAAAATGAGGTGTCATGTTGGACAAATGATCATGTATTTATAGCCACAGGATACTGAAAACTAATATTGTCCTGAAAAAACACAAAATATAATGTTAATAGGCGTGTTTTTCAAGATTAGTAAACTTGAATTACCTTAATAACGACTTTGTGCCTAAAATCTCTTCCCTACCTGTAGCTGGAACATTTGTAACTCTAAATGTGGTGAGTAAAAATGACTATCATTGTCAAAACTGCTTTTTATCTTCCTTTCAGACACCTAAAGGTTCCTAGCAATACCATGTAAAACTGATCAAAGATATGTGTATGCCTCTATTAAAAATTCACTCATCTTGATTCTTTATAGTAAGTAGGAAGAGGTTATAATATCAGGGAAAAGGTACACAATGACTAATTTAACACGTGTTATATTAAAACAGTTATACTCACTGATGCAATCTAATCTAATCCCTATGAATTTTCTTTCCATCTTTATCCTCCCCTCTCTTAGTACTAACATTAGTGGGAAACATACTTAAACTGTCTCAGGAATTTTTGAAGTATCATCCATTTTATAAGATTGAAAGCAAATGTTCAAAACAATGTTTAATACGCATTAAGAATTAGAGAATAACACAGTTACTGTTTCTTAATCACATAAAATTTTGAGGAATAACAGCCACCCTGGACCACTAAACAGTATTATACAATATTATTACACTGTATTATGTTTGAGTTCCCTTGCAGTATGTGGCTAAAGTCCTACTGATAATTCAAAAAAAGAAAGAGGAAAGAGAAGCACAGGATAGAAATTAAATCTTCGAAAACATCATTTGGCCAACATGTACCATGTATGTATGTATTTACAAGCACACTTAAATGGCCCTTAATTGGAAATACTATTAATGGTGTTGTAAGAAAATACCATTTCCACACGATTTTTACTTAGTCTAAAATTTAGTTATCAATAACAAATTTCTGAGCACATTCCGGACTCCCTAAATTTGCAAAAAGAGCAAAGGATTCCACTATAAATTTGTTTGGGACAAAGATAATTCTACATTCTAGTAGAATGTTCACATGTTCACATGTTCCAACTAAATTAGTCATTTTAGGCAAACAGCTTAATAAATTACTCATTTCCACGTCTTTCAAACATAAAAGTCTAAGTAGTACCATATAATCATTAAAAACAAAACTTTTTTCTTTTAGAGAAGCTTCTGTTTAAAATCAAAAACATGTTTGAAAGTAGTTCCACAGAAACATAAAATAAAAAAATCTCATATGTAAAGTAAAAACATTCAAAGTAATACCAATAACATATTTACATATTCAATTAGAAGGTTTCAAATTAAAATTTTCAGCTCTTGTTCCATTTAAGGTCAATGGGGGGGTTCTCCGGAAAACTATAGAAAAAATAATTTTTTTTAAGCAACTACATACCTACTGTATTTATTTTAACACATTAACATTTAGAAGAAATGTTAATAGAAATAAATTATACATCTGTGCTTAATAAGCCTCCAAGATTACAAAAATATTCATAAATTATCTGAAGATAAATTTTTACTTTCCTCTAGTTTATGAAAATTGCAATAACCTTTCTATTGAAAATAACTTCTGATTAAACTACATTCAATAACTAAAATTCAAACAATCTCCCAGAGAAAACAAAGAGGACAGTCTTTCAAATGAGCTTTCTACTGATATTATAGACAAGATGACCCAACACTTAATATCTACCATGAGTGTAGTCGGGAAAACATAAACGTGTAATGGTGCAGAAAGCGCTATACAGAAAGAAAATGCAATTTACAAGATTACTTATGACAATTAAATCTCTGAACTCAGTTTTTTATACTTAAAAACTGTTACATTTCTGTAGGTTACAAGGTCTAAACCTTTAGAAAATTCCATATGGTGGACTTACACATACATGCTAGTATTAGGCAATATTTTATGCTTAAGAAGTCTAGCAAGCATTATTTAAAAACCCTAGTTTACATAAAGTACATTGAACACCAAGAATAGAAAAATTACATGACATTTTAAAAGTGACACTGGATTAAGTAATGAAATTGAAAAATCAGCCTTAACTTCCAATTAAAATTTCTAATCATTACCTCTGTTTTCATATGTCCTGGCACAAATATTTTAAAAATATAGTAATATGCCTATTTTTTGCAGAGATTTTTAATTTTTAATTTCACCCCTTCATTAATCATAAACTCAATGCAATGTATTTAACTGCATTATGCTGACATTACCAATCCTTTGAAATAATCTCCTGAGATTAAGAAATTTTCTTTTTATACAAATCTTCATTTTTATTCATTTCTTCAACTGATGTACTAAGAGTATACACTAAAAAAACAAAACAAAACAACAACAACAAAAAAACAAAGGCATCGCCCAAGCTGTTCTTTCAATTGTTACAATAGCCAGTTCATGCTCAGCAACCCAAAATTGGGTTCTTGACAAATTTCAGCATTAAAATAATTTATTTTCTATCTCATGTACAAAAACAAAATACTATTAAGCACAATAATGATACTTTTAATATTTATGTACCCACATACTTAGCTCTTATCCTTCAACTCCTTTCTCTGAGAATAAGATTTTTCTAAAAGCTCAGGAGGGTGAGGGTGTCATTTACCCAAGCCAGGTATTAACAGTTTAAAGCAAACTAAATGTGAATAGTTTTCTTTGGTAAAGTCTGTGGCCACTTCCTCTTTCCTCTTTATTCCAACATAAAACTGGAGCTAACCCGCAAGTTCTACTCAATTCCTTTTAACATAACGAAAGCAAAATAGTATCAGAATTAAACTCCTCACATACTTTATCCAGTATCTCCTGTGATTCCAAATAAATGCAATGCACTAACACAAAGGGGGAAAAACAGCTCTCTTGAAAGTATAAAATGTATGCAGTTGTCGTTCTTTATCAAAATAGCATTTTTTTTTTAAATGACCCAAATACAGTTAGTTACCACTTAGGAAAATCAAGCAAATTCTGAAGAACATGTGCCTAGAGAAAATTTCAACATAACAATTTCAACTGCTTGTGGACTCCAGATCAAATCCATTTATTTTGATTTTGCTGAAGGTTAGCTGTGAACCTTTGCTGGCCTCTGCAGCAGAACTGGACCCCAGGGTGTCTGACAAGGAGGCGCCACTGAGAGCAAGCTCCCTGCGACAGGTCCCTGACCAGCCTGACCATAAGACTGTACTCAACAGCATTTTGACGGTTTTGGGTTTTTTTTGGTACCAGGGATTGAACTCAGGTCCTTGCGTTTGCGAGGCAGGCGGCGGAACCACAGAGCTAAATCCCCGGCCCACAAGCATCTTTATTAGGGTTCAATGTACTCCTTAAATGGTCCAGCATAAATCAGACAGTAAATTCCATTCAACTAAAACAATACTATGTGGCATAAAAGTGTGGGACAAGATCGAGCTTAACTCTTTCCCCAGACGATTTTGGAAAAGGGACGCTTCAAGGTACACACTGGTGGGGCCGGGGGTTTAGCTCAGTGGTTCCGGCTCCTGCCTCACAAGCGCAAGGCCCCCAGTTGGATCCCCGGTACTAAAAAAAACAAAGAAACAGTACTTACAAGGTACACACCAGTAATCCCTTTTACAAAAAAGACAAGACAAAGGTCTTTTACTAAACTGCATGCCAACTGATCTTTCATAAATCAAATTACATTCAAGTACCATATACAGATCATTTAAAGGTAACTTTAATGAATCCCTTTTGTAAAATCTCAAATAACCACTATGTAGTTATATTTCTCTTGTAATATTAAACTTTTAAATATCAAATTTCTTAAAGTAGAGCACAGCTGCTTTCATAAACCAAAACAGTCACTCCAGCATTACTGTCCTTCACTATTTCCCTTCAAGCAAGCTCTAAAAATACTATCCCCCAAAAAACCAACTGTTCATCAGTGATAGGATAAATAAGCAGTACTAGAAAAGTTGAAAAAATAGTGACTTCTAAATGTAAAAGAGAAATGTAGATTTAAAAAAAAAAAAAGGGCAATGAGCTATTTTAGTTTTGGCAATGCTGAATAAAACGAGACATCGATATCTCAAATAACTTTCCCACATGTCTTTATCGTCAACCTGGAGTAAACTGCTCAAGAGCTGTTTATCTCCATGAACACATGACCTCCATGATGCTACCAAGGTCAACAAGATCTACAGGAGGGGGATATGCTGAGTAAATGCTGATTCTGCACAGTTCTCTTTAAGACATGAGGAAGGGGGAAAGAAAAACAAACAAAAACTTATATTTTACAGGAAACGATTTTAGGTTGCAAAAATTAAGTATCCCTTACAAGACTGTACACAGATTACAGCTCAGTAATGGCCACTGGAAGCAAGATATAAAAGAGACCTAACAGAACTGGACCAGGTACAAAAGTGGCTGCACAGAAAGAATTAACAAGGCCCCAACTCATCTTCCCTTACATCTTGTACTCAAAACCTTCCATACCCTGGCTACATGACACAAGACTCAATTTCAAAGTGAGGGTTCTTGGCTCAGAGGACTTCTTAAAGTGACAAACAACCAAGGAGCCAGTCAACAGAAAAGGCGACAGGAGCAAATTTGTTCGCCAGGTGACACCAAATTCACAGGTCGTTCTCTGGTCCTCAGGCATTTCCTCCTCTATTAAAATCTACACCTTTCACAACCAGGAAGTTTTTCTGGATGAGATTTAAATTTTAAAACACATCACCCACTTGGCATCTGTCTATCGCTAGCTTTATAGTGAAAAATATCCCTATCAATTTAACACCATTACGTTGGAAATTTCCAAACTTGCAAATAGCCATCGCAGGTCGGAACTAGTGCCTGATACAGTGATTTCATGGAGAGCAGCTCAACTATTCATGCTAACGTTTGGTAAACAGGGAGCATACAGGATACATTATGATCGTGGAGTATTTAAAAAGGAAAAAAAATCAGCAAAAGGCACGGATTTCTTCGCAATCAGCAAAGCACTGGACTGGTAAAAGTCTTCGGAGTTACTTTCAGGGAAGCACTGATCTGGTAGGTGGCACTGGGTCAATGTGATTACTTAACCCTGGCTGTTATAACTAAACTCCACTTTGACGGGCTCCAAAGCTTCTAACAAAAAGATGACTCTGGAGCGTATCAAGTGCTTTGGTGCCCCCTCCCCCCCTTTCTCCTATCAACACCAAGTCTGACACCTGAAACTCAGCACACAAACGTTATCTTGTTTCGGACCTCCAGAGTTTTGTATTTAAAGTACGCTGGGTACTAATTCAGTGTGTGTGTGTGAGAGACAGAAAGATTAACCTATTTCCTGCACACACACAGGGAAAAGAACTCATGACAATCAAAGCAGTTCCCTTTCTCTCAAGTAACTTTACAAAAATCATTTAGTCCTAAAATAACCATAAGGAACAAACATTAAACACTAGCATGGCAACGTGCACACACCCTGCCCGGGACTACCCGACCCACCGGCGGATCTGCTCCTCTGGTCCCTATCCAGCCCTAGCCCGCGACCCCTGCCTTCCGTCCGGTCCAGCCCGGGTACCCTCCGGTCCGAGCCGAGTTCTGCTGAGAAATCAGCCACTTCGGCCGGCGGGGCAGAGTTCCTCAGCGGCGCCGGCGCGCAGGGGCCCACCTGCCCCGCGCCCCGCGGCTAACTCCGGCTCCGGCCCCGGCCGAGCGCCCGACCTCAGCCCACCCCGAGGGCGGGCGCCGGGCGGCCCGCGACGCCCCCCGAGGCCGCGTCCCGAGCGCCTGTCAGCGCCCCGGAGGTCCCGGGGCCGGCGCCCTGCCTTCTGTCGGAAGGAAGCGCTCCGCGCCCGCCGCACTCACCTGGCGGCCGCGCCGTGGGGCCGGGCGAGGGCTGGGGTCAGGCGCCGAGGCCAGAACGCCCACCCTGCCCCCGCGCCCCGTGCCGGCCGGCGCGCGCCTGGGCCCCGTGGCGCGCGCCCGGAACGGATGGGGGAAGGGGAGCGGGGACGCGAGAGCGCGGGGTGAGGGGCGCGCGGGGGGACGGGGCAGGGGGCGCGGCGAGAGCGGGCGGGCAGCGGCGGCGGCAGAAAGACGCCTCGGCCGCGTCCGTCATGGCGCGCGGCGGCGGCGGCTCCCTCCGGTTTCTCCGCTCCCTCGCCTTTAGTTTGACCTTTCCCTCCAGTGTCTGAGGGAGAGCGGCCGTGCGCGCGCGTGTGCATGTCTCTGTGTGTGTGCGCGCGCGCGAGCGCGTGGGGAAGAGGCCGGGCTCGTTCCCCGAGGCCTGACGTCACTGCCATGGCAACGGCGGCCCCAGCCCCTCGCTTCCCGTTTCCTGTCCCCGCCTACTCTGTACGTTCCGGGGCTTCCCGTGCTCACTCACACGCGCGCACGCAAGACGCACGGTCGCATTGCGCGCGCCCAGAGCGCGGGGGTTTGGGAGGTAATCTGGGCCTCCTGTTTACCCACTCCTCTCCTCCTCCCTGAAGTTGACCAATCCGGTAAGGAGGAGCCGCGGGCGGGGCGCACAGGGCTGCCAGGGCAGCGCGTAAAACTTCCCCAGGCAGAGCGAAAAGCTTCCTGAGAGACTGAGCATGCCCGGTGGGGAAAGGGGCGTGTTCGACCCTAGTTTAGGGAGGAGGAGGAGGAGGAGGAGGAGTGTCGGGTAGTTGCGGAAAGGAAGCTGGGGTCCCATTTTAGGGGTGCTTTGCGGATTTCGAACTGGGGCGCGTAGTGTGAACGTCCGGCCGCCCTGGGTTGAAGTCTTGCCCCGCCACTCTCTCCCTGCACGTTACTTAAGCGCTGGACTGAATATCTCGGGTCTAATGAGGTTAAAAATCTATGGTGGTCGTGAGGATTTAAACCGATAACGGAAGACGCCTCCGTGATGCATGGTAGATCGCAAATACTTTAGCTGTCCTTACGGAGCCCACGACCTCGGTATTTTAAAAGTGGGGTTGCGGGACTCATTAAAACATTAATGACTTTCAAGGTCAGGTAGTGACCAGGCTTCAGGTTCAATGCTCTTTGTCCTATGCGGGGTTCCTTTAGGCAGGGAAAAGATTCAGGAAAACCACCTTTAGAGCTTCCTTTGTAATCCGTGTAGTCGCTTAGTCCTCACCGCTTACCCTCTCATCTCCCCAAATTTTACATCTCAGGACCTAAGAACTGGAAAACCAGGATGTGCCCTTTGGGGCTTAGTTACTTAGCTTGCAAATTTGCACCTGCCCAAACTATAGAACATAGGTGCTGTCCTTGGTTTCCTTCAGACGCCTACATTTCCTCCTAAGCTTTGATGGAAGTGTAAACACGATAGCAAAAAAATGCCAAGTCCCCCACAATGTCTAGGTAGCTGAGGAAAAGTGAGTTCAATTAGCTTCTATTTACCTGGTGTCCACGAACAGACTGAAAAGCCTTGCTGGCCAGACATGATATGGTGGTGCATGCCTATAATATCTGCGCTCAGGGACTCTAAGGCAAGAGAATCTGAAGTTCAAGCCCAACCTGGACAACTTTGGGACGTACTAAAATAAATAGAGACCAGGGAAGTAGCTCAGTGTCCTGGGTTCAAACCCAGCGCCGCAAATAAATGAATAAACAAATGCCTTCCCAGTCAACAACAAGCGTGTGTGAGACCCAGGCATGTTCAGGCAGGCACCTTCGAGTTCAACATTTGTATGATGTCATTCCCCCAGCAGGGCTTCCCACTCTGTCCTCTAACTGAGCTCCTAATCATCTACTGCTTCATGGTATTTTTGAGGATAACAGTACTATTTACCCAACCTTCTCTCTCCCTCCCTCTTGAGTTTTTTTGTTTGTTTTGAGACATGGTCCTGCTTTGTAGGTCAGGCTGGCCTTGAACTCACTGTGAAGCCCAGGCTAGCTTCAAACTCATGACGATCCTCCTGCCTCGGCCTCCCAAGTTCTGGCATTACAGGTGTGCAGCACCATGCCTGGTTTCTTAGCTTTGGTATTAATTTTTTATTAAAGTACCTTTTTGTCTTTCTGTCTTACAACCCCAAACCTAAATCTGATCTTGGTAAAGAACACCAGCCAGTTCCTCAGACATGCCCAGAGGCTTCCCATTTTCTTTCCAGGTATGATTCATCTGACTCTTCCAAGTGCCAGCTTGAATTCAGTCGCTTCCAAAATGGGTTGCTGGAGGAACTCTGCAGGAATGAGTTAGTCCCTTCTCCACAGCGTTTGGTTCACCTTTCTTCACAGACTGTGATCTGCTGTAGGTGTGTGCACATCTCACCTACAGAAAACTACTGTGGACAGAGGGCTCAGTGGAACTCAGCATATCACTTTTTACCTTCAAGGCTTGATTTATTTGCCTTCCCCAATAGAGTAAGCAGCTCTGATGGAACAGACCCAGTCTAGTTCCACTTGGCATGTCCAGCCTCTTCCTTGGTACCATACCACCACTCAGCAGCTAGCTAATGAATGGCTGAGTGGTTTCCCTGCTTATTTTATAAGGTTCTTAGGGACAGGCTTTGCCTTCTGTATATTTGTATTTTATAGCCAAGGATGTATGGGAAGTTAAGAGTTCCTGGTAAACTCTGGACTACTGTAAAGTGCACCAGAAATTACACAGTCTTCAGGAGTAGCTCAAGATACCTCATAGGGTAAGAAGACTGCCATCCAGTGAGTAATGGCTGCCTCTGTGGACTAAGTGCAGAGGCCTTTCAACATTGTTAAGGATGAAATTGTAGGCAGTTTACTCAGGGTGTCCCAGCCAGGTTGCTCCCAGTAAAGTGGAGAAATTCGAAGAAGAGTATTGACATCAAGCAGTGTTTGCTTACTCTGAACTTCCAGCATTTGTCTCCTTGTCCAACTTAGCACAGTCATCTAAGCCCACTGATATTCTTGTGTCTAGTGTTGTTCTCTTGATATGCTGTTTAACTCTATTTGTGTGTAAGAAAATCTCACCAAACCAAGGGTTCTTTTTTTTTGTTTTGTTTTTCGAGACAGGGTCTTGTTATGTAGTTCAGGCTAACCTTGAACTCATAGCAATCCTCATATCTCAGCCTCCCAAGTGGTGGGATTACAGGTTTGTGCCACTTATGCCCAGCCAAACCAAGGTATCTGACTCCTCCTCATGCCAGTAGCATTCCAGTTGCCAGCACCATAACCCGAGTCAATCTCAGTTTTCCCTGTCTCCGTTCTGGCAGTCTCCCAGTCCCACGCAGTCTTCCTCTTCCATAGTAGAGGTAACTACACACTGCTCTCTGGCCCCTTGGTCACTATTCCAGAGGGAACCTCTGTCTCTACACTCTTCCCAAAACTGTTAACTGTTTTCTGCCTCAACTGGGCCTGTCCAGCCAAGTTCCTCAGTACCCCACACTGCAGAGGGGCCATTTTGAAGGCAGGAAATGGAGCACGTTGCCATCCGGCTTCAAAATCTTCCTGATATTGACTCTTCTGGAAGAGGTCACACTTCTTCAGTGGCTTCGTAATGATCTGTCCCTAGCCTATTTCTTCAGCTGTGACTCCCACTCTCGGCAAGGGCTGTTTTGTTTCCTGGATGGTGAAAGTGTACAGTGCTTTTCTCTCCCAACCCCTCAACTGGGGATTGAACCTAGAAGTGCTCCAGCCCTCCTCCTCCTCCTTCTCCTCCCCTTTTTCTTCTTCTTCCTCTTCCTCCTCTTCCTCCTCTTTTTCTTCTTCCTTTTCCTCTTCCTCCTCCTCCTCTTCCTCCTCTTTTTCTTCTTCCTTTTCCTCCTCCTCCTCTTCCTCCTCCTCTTCTTCCTCTTCCTCCTCCTCCTCCTCTTCATCTTCGACAGGTTCTTCCTGCATTGCCTAGGTTGACCTCTGTCAGCCAGAGAAACAGATTTAATGCAAGATATGTAAATGTATAGAACTTTTCAAGATTGGCTTACAATGGCGGCCCACAGAGTCAGATGTGGAGCAGCACAAAAGGGCTGACTGTGTGCTGAGATACAAAGGACACAGTCGAAAGCCTGGAGCTGATTGTATTGTTGCGTGAATTTGTATCAGGAGGCTGAGGGGTCTGTGCTGGAGGCCAGGAGACGGTGTCCGAGATGAAGGTGAAGGCTGGTGCCGCTCCGCAGAAACAGAAGGGAGCCTTCCTTCTTGGTTTCCCTTTGATTCCATTCAGGCTGCAAGCCTACTGGTTGCTGTCACTCACACCCAGGGTGGGTCTTCTGTCTTCAGTAAAGCCCCTCAGGCACTCCCACAACTATGCTGATCCAATTGAGTTGGGCGTTTCTTACTCACTTGACACAATCAGGTAACTGTCACACCCTCCACTTCTGATCCTCTTGCCTCAGCCTCCCAAGTAGCTAAGATTATAGGTGTGTGCCACCAAGCCTGGCCCTTCTCCTATATATCGTGTTCTTTGCTAGTCCAGGGACACCCACCTCGAGTTCTCTTCCCTAGCTCTTCTGCCATCTACCAGGACAGTCTTCCCTCTACGTTCTAGGTCTGTAAGAACAGCCCACAGTACATATGTCTGGTGTAGCTCTTCCTATTCTGTGTCGTGTTTACATGCCTTTTTCTCCTCCTTGAAATATGAGCTTCAGGAGATGATGGGTTTGGGCCTATAGCGTTCATTTATGTAAGTCTGGCACTCCCACTGTACCTGGTACACAGATGCCCCGTAAGTGTTTATTGAGTGAAGTAATGTATTTGTAAGCTCTGCAAAGGAAAAAGGCTATTGTGTTGCTTTGATTCTTCACAAGGCTATGCTTATTGTTATGCAAGTAATAATAGTAAGGTACTTAAAATAACAAATGAGCAAAGGATAGTGATGAGGTATTACAAACCTGGCACTATCAGGGACTATCCTTTCTATTGATTAACTCAGTTAATCCCCAACAATCTTATAGAGTAGGCATCGATATCCAAATTTTGCGATAAGGAAATCAAAGTTTAAGGAGGAGAAGTGAGAGTGCCATGGTCACACTGATGGTGACAACGAGGCCAGGATT